AAAAAAAATACATTTCTTTTATACACCAATTTTATTTTATTTTATAGACCGAAAATGTCTATTTATGTATGTTCTAATCAGTATGAACATTTTAGCAGCATTTCTTTCCTTTAACATCTTGTCCTGTCAGAATCTTTTTTTTTTTTTGTAGAAATTTTTGACAACCTCTTGAACGCAGCATGAAAACTTACTAACTCCTGTATCTCAGTAATGTGCGACACGGTTTCTGTAACAAAACACAGACATTTGAAGAGTCTTCTCAGTGTCACATGTCAGCATACTTACACTGGACATCAAGGTGAACCTCAGTTGAGTTAACGAAGTCGCCGATATTATTCCAGGCCTGACAGTGGTACAGTCCGCTGTGGCCGGGCTGGACGTCAGAGATGGTGTGATTCAGTCCTGAACTGATAAACTGCCTGTCTTTATACAGCCTGTATCCACTCTGTGTCACAGGTGGGTTGGCATCACTGCTGCAGGTGAGAGTCACCAGATTCCCTTTGACAACATCTCCAGATGGACTCATTGACAGTGTGACTTTTTTGGGAGCATCTGAAAGAGAGAAGAAGAGTTCACTTTCACAGTTGGTCAGTGAACACGTATTTCATTAAATTGTGCCTTAATTGTCACTTTTTTCAGTTGTTTTATTGTCCCACAAGAGTAATTCTTTTATGCAGGAAGCCTAAAAAACTAAATGAAAAAAAATATAACAAGCATTTCATTCCAGTTATATACAGGTGTTAAGTCAGTTGTTGATTTCACCCAATAAATAAACTATATTGACAAAAAGGAGACAGATTAAATGGTGACTTTTTGAGGTAACTGAGACACAGGAGCATTTCACAAGTTTAGCTTTGAAATGTGAAACATGTTATTCGTGTACTTACACTGAACATTTAGAGCCACAGAGGCTGATCTGACCGTCTCTTTTCCTAGGACGGCACAGTAGTATCTCCCAGCATCCTCTCTCCTGGCCTGGAAGACTGGATTTGGTACAGGCTCTCCATCTCTGAACCAGACTACCTCTAAAAGTGTAGAACAACCTGACGCACAGGTCAGACTGACATTATCTCCCTCTGTCACAGTGCTCGGCTGCACAACTGTGGTCAACTCTGATTCAGAAACAGAAGCAGAAAATCAATTAATTTTACTAGAACATATCTAATTCATGACAAATGTACCCATTATTTTGTCATTACCTGTTACGAACAAATGAGCAAATGTTTTACTCGTCCATCTGTTGAATGTTGTTGAAAAACTGAAAAAGTATTGTCCTTCATCAGCGTGTTGTACATTATTGATCTCCAGACTACAATTATTCCAGTAGTTGCCCACATATTTAAAGTGGCCTGGGGGTGAAGGGAGGCTTGACAGGTAAACCAGCCTCCACAGGCCAGACACACGCTTGGCTTTAGACCAGTTAACTGAAGTGACACTATGACCAACAGGATAGTCATACTTGCAGCTAATAACTACTGATGTCCCTCTCAAAGCACACTGACTTTTGAAGGTCACCCCCCAGTCTGCGCTCCAGACACCTGTGGGCAAAAATTAGACTGTATAAAATGTATTTCAAAGCTCAAAGCAAAAGTTAGATAATGATTTGATAACAGTCACCACATTTGCTATACATTAATTTACAGAAAGTGTTTCCTTACCTGGCATTATTACCAGAATAAGCAGAATCAGTTTTTCCATGATTAAAGTCAACCTGCAATATTGTCACAAAGGACACAGATTAATATACAGCAGAGCACTGAGAACAATATTCATAGTCAGTATTCATGTGTATTAAAGGCAGTACTCACCAACATAAGCAAGCTGACTTACTGCTTTGTACATTCCCAAGAGTGATTTTGTGAGTTAAAAAGCAGAACTGGGAGGGTGTCCCCTCCCTGTGTCCTTTCATCATATTGTCACACATTCAGAGTGCTGATAAAGTTAGAAAACCTCACATAATAAGATCTGAATCTGAACACACACACAAACATGCAAGGTATGTAGGACGTGGGGACAATAGATCCATTGGTCATCCACCAGGTTATTGATACACAACAAGAAACACTCAGTATATGCTCAGTAACCAGTAGCACGTGCACAGGGAAGTGGGGAATTTGCTGACAGTTTTTCCCGCCACACATTTCTAAATGTACCTAAGTGTTTGTAGGACATGTTGAAACTCAACAGATTGAATCAAACATTTTGTACTGGGGTATCACTGTCGGTAAAAAAGAGTGATGGTGCAATGAAACACCCAATGCAGTGGATGGATCATTTGAAGTGTGTATGGTACCTAGGATCTCCACAGGAATATCCACGGGTGAGAGAGGGTGAGTGAAATAAAGTTGGAAGATCTGTAGGAATTATATCTTGTGCCTTCAAGCAAAATATACTGGGTGGGATTTTTTGTGATCTGTCTATAGAGATTTGAAACCACCACAGGGTTTAGAGAGATAAACTGAAGGTTTCTTATTGAAAGTCCTTCTGCCCAGGAACCAAAAATCACTGCACTATAATCGAGCTTCTCTAAGTGGCCAACATGCCAGAAACAGCTGCTGTCAGTTTGTCATTGCTGACACAATCTATCCTTCACCACAGGGTGGTGTTATTGGATCATGCAACCAGTGTAGGCAATGACTTACACTCCATATAGGTGTGCATAAACCACTACATCAGTAGTGGAGGGTTGCTATGGATGATAGAAGAGCAAATAAAGTGAGAAAAGAGGAATAAAAACTGTCCAAATGGATGATTGTAACATCATTAATTATTATGACTATTTAGGTTTTTATTGTTGTCTGATCATAACTTTAAGCACATTACCCCACCAAATACTTCCTCTGCAGCTCCACATCAAGGGAGGAAATGTCACAATGTACATGTACATCATAGTGGCACATTTATTGCATCAAACATTTCCTCTGCAGAGGTCAGAGAACAAGAACAAAGTTGTGTCATTGTGTGGTTGTTTTTATACTCAGGTTTAACCAGCGGATTTATAGCCCTAATTCCAGTCAGTATTATTTACAGTGTCTGTGGTGTCCGATGCCACAATTGAACAATGATGAACACACCAACAACGTACCAACACCTTCTCTTCTGTGTCATTGTTAAAATGATCAAATGTGTTGGTAAAATTGTGCAACCCTCCGCTCCACATTAGTAATCACAAGGGATGAAACAGTTAATCAATAAATTACAAATAAATAGGCTGTATTAAATATATCTTTGTGAGAGTAACTTCTTTGCAGTATTTATTTTTATTATAAACTGGTCAAATTATATTTCACTATTAGTAGTGCATTAGAAAGAGGAGGGAGGGGAAAGAGAACTAGACATTTGATAGTCAAATTAATAGTTTGCTTTGGATTTAACAGAAACAACGAATGTGCAGGTTGATGTTTTTTTCTGTCTTTATTGCTACCTTTTTTGTTAGCAATGAAATGAAAGAAGCTACAAAGTTAATATATAGCATACCTTGGGTTGATTCCACTGACTGTATTGTGCTTTTGTTCTCTGAAATTTGTTTTGCCTTTATTAGAGAAAATAAAAATCACATTTTCCTACATTCCTACATTGCATCCCTCTACTGCTGACAAACGCTTTCCTCACTCTCAACACATTGATCATTTGTCCACACATTCAAACGTTTGCGAGCTGCAAAAATAATGAAAAAGCTATGATTTGTTCTACTGCAAGTGTTTGTTTTATTTTTATTTATTTTACATTATCTTCTGGCGTTGCTTAAGACAAATTTTATTGGAAGCAAGCTATATCAACTGAATAACTGTTGCAGCCTCAGCATTCAAAATGAACTATTCAGAACATTGTTGAATACAGTGTGGAAATATTTCATATTCTTTATAGATGTTAAACAATTCTCTACAGGTTTTATCCACTAACATATCATTTGTATTAGAGACAGATATGTTTGCATACAAATGATTTTCACTTTTCAGTGGTCGGAGGATACAAACGATGCCGTAGCAACCAGTGATACTGTGTCATCTATATTCATCTGCATCAAGTAAAAAGCAGCAGTAGATACAGCCCGTACTGTGGATATGAATGCAAGCAAAATGACAACCAGCAGTGTGAATGCTCACTTTTTCACTACTTTGTTTTCAAGCATTTCTGCTTCATCGGCAGCACACAGTGGTAAGATGCATATGGAAAAAAAGGGGAAAGACATGCAACACACTTTAGGAGATGGACTTGCAGTCAGGACCAGGACCACATGTTGTCCTTGTGGTCTGGTGAACTGTGGAGAATCCATAACAACACGTCTGACCCAGAACAGCGTAAGGCATCGTCAGAGTTCACAAGGAGCCGTTTCCTGTCCCACAATCCCCTCTGGGTGAATGGAAGCAAAGTGATTGGTTCATATGAGGAAGGCTGATGTGTTTTTCAGCTGAGGAATAACAGAGAATAACAAGAGCAGAAACACGAGTAAAGGTTGAAAACAGCAGAAGCCAACTGAATGCAAATGATCCTATTACAGCAGCAGAACACAATTTGATCTCAAGAATTTTAGAATTTCTGCATGGTTTGTTAATTGCACCACTGAGACTCTTTTTATTTTAACAGGTATCCTTTTGTGTGGCCTTTTTTCCTTCCAGGGGCACAACTTTACTGGATTATTATCTCATCCATTTTGAGCGTCCTACTGTATGTGGGGTGATCATAGCATTGACACAGGCCCCTGTATATGATATATAAAATTATAGGGACCATTTCGAGTAGAAAATACAAAAAACAGCTCAAATAAACTGAACAGAACCGTACCTCTGAGGCTTTTAAATGACAATAGTGAGAGTGTCATACCTGATTGCCTTTGTCCCCAGGTCAGTGGCGAGGCTGGGGCAGTAGAGTGTAAACAACTTTAGAGGAATCTTTCGGCTTTTTTTCACCGCCCAGTGGCACGTTGTGGACCTGCACCTGCTCTGCACTGAACCAACATCAACAACAAACAGAAACCATATGAGTTCATCTGGACATCTGACTCAGATCAAATCATAAAACACAGCTCTCCGTTTTGTTCCAGAACCACTGAAATGTTTTTAATGTCCAAAACTGGGATGAGGAATTTATTGTCCTCTCATAAACAGGAGAAGGTGTTGGATATCACAGAAGAAAGAGAGTAAAGACAGGAAAGGACGAGGCGTGGAAAGCGTAAGGAAGAGACTAGAGAGATGGTGACGACAGGAAGATAAAGAAGAAAGCAAGACTGCCTATGTAGTTGTAAAATAAAATCTGTGACATGTAGGACATGAAACAGTAGATTGCTGCTGTGGTCAACAGCTCAGTAGGGAGACAGATGTTGTAGTTGAGACAGAAACAGACGTAGAATGTTTCCCAGTGAACAAAAGGAGGAAGGAGAAAGGCAGAGACAGAGTAGTTCAGAGGAGAAGAAAAAGTGACTTGGAGGTAGTGTGATGGAGAAAGATCGCGTGTACCTGGACAACTTGGAGTAGTGGACAGTGATGTAGTTGGGGGCCGGGCTGTGACTTTCAACTTCTGTGATTGGTGGAGCATCCTTTAGAGGAACGATGGCAGGGTGGGAGCTGTCACTCAAGTCCTCTGGCTCCTCCTGCACACACACACACACACACACACACACACATACACATGCAGAGATACATCAGAAAGTTAGATCATTTGTAATATATTGTTATTCTTATCAAGAATTATATAAGACATTATATAAGACGTTTAGACTGAGTGGTGTACCGGTATGTCGGACATCTTGCCCTTTCTCACTGGAAAGGTCTGTTGGGCTGACTCATAGAACATGGTGTCAGCTGTCACTGACGGACGCTGGGGTCACACACACAAACACAGGCACACACACAGAGAGAATAAGGGAAAAAGTAAAACTGAGGGTCATTTTTTAATGAACTGACTTAATTATTGTATTAAAAGCATGTTTTTGAACTGTCAACTGCAGGTTAGACAAAAACTAAAATGAAACGTAATAGAACTATGAGTATACTTTACCTTGTTTGCTACATCTCCTGACTCGATGTCTACTCTGTGCATGTTCTTACTATGAAGACACAGGAATAATATTATTCAACCATAACCAAGTGATGACTCCTACCACAAAAGTAATGCAAATAAACCATGAAACTGGCTGTAGGAAGATCAACCTCAAGAAAATAAATCCCTAAAATATTAAAATATTGAATAAACTGATGCTGAACTTGAAAATTAGCTACAATGGACACAAAATTATTGTATAGTCCTCCTAAAAAATAGAATTAAGTGAAATTAGTCCATCTAACAGTGAGAAAACAGCGTATCACCTGATCATAATGGCGACTGTGAGAGTGATGAGTCCAGCAGACACGCCTACTGCTGACGCCAAGGCAATGACCTTAAGACGACCTGTCAGTGGGAGGTTAACAGAGGTTATCAGCATGACTAGAAACAGGAAGAAAGAAGAGGGAGTCAGGGTCAACATGAGATGAATAAAAATAGAAGTGCTGCAAGCTAAAAAAAATAACATCAGACATAAAAATAGAAAGTGAACAGGGAGAGCTGTGCATCATCTTGCAGTCGTCTAGACTTGTGTTTCCAGTTCTGATTTCCAAACCTAACTCCACTTCTTCAGCTGTCTAGACTCAAATAGTAGTTTTCCACAACACCTCATCACCCCTTCCTCTCCCCTTGTAGCGAAAGGGCTTTACATGACTCACCATGACTCATAGAAAAACAGTCAGAAATCATGAGAGCATACACAATGAAGACAAGGGCCTGGACCTCATGCTGCGATAGTGACAGGTTTCTTCACTCATCATTTCAATCACACAGAACCCAGTCCAAACATCCCCTCTGCTATAATCTCAGAGAAACACTTCAAACCATTTTGGAGCAATTGCCTCAGATAATTAGAAGCATAGATGTAAAACTGAGGCTGGGGTGTTTCACTAACCTCATCAGTGACACCTCATCTCTTCCATTACACCTTTAAAAGGGACAATGCGTTCACAATGAAAACTCATAGCAAGAGAAAAGTCAGGGTATAATCCAGTAAACACAGGGGTGTGTCAGTGGGCAGCAGAGATGAACCACTAAAGGCTTTTAGACTGAGTGTAAATGTAATTCTGACACCTTCACAACTCATGAAAATCGCCACATAATAAATTCCATTGTAAGATTTTTTGTCTTAAAGGTTGCTATAATTTTAAAGAGCTCACAGCATGAAGTCTCCTCATTCTTTAAGCAAGTGTCAAAACCATACTGTAAAGTAATCCATTACATTTTCATAGAAATAGTTCCCAGTTTTACTACTTTCTACTGCCAGTTGATATAAGTAATTCAGCATATTACCACTTCATTATTTTTTTTATAATGTTGGCTGCATTCAATAGTCTACCTAGTGTTGGGAAGCTATTGCCAAGGAAAAATCCTTCCAAGGTCTAAAGCCTTGCTTTTATAGGGTATATATGTACAGTTAAATGCTAACATTAACATGCTAACATGCTTACAATAACAATGCTAACATGCTGATGTTTAGCAAGTAAAATGTCCAACATCTTAGTTTAGCATGTCAGCATACCAATTAGCAACATTTGGTAAGTAGCTCTAAACATAAAGTACAACTGATGCTCATTAGCTTTGCAGGTATTTGGTCATAAACCAAAGTACTGACAAATTTAACTTGATTATGCTACAGTTATTTAAAATGATTACAATTCATCCTGAAGGGGACATGGATATCAGTACTAAATTTCATAGCAATCCATCCAATAACTTTCAAGACATTTGACCCAAAACCACAAATGTGAACCTCATGGTAGCGCTACATTAAACATGAATGTACAAAATTTCATGGCAATCTGTTTGATAGTTGTTGAGATATTTCACTGTAGAGCTGTACTAACAACCAAAATGTTTTCTTCTTGTTTTGCCACAGCACAGAGACACACAGACAGCAGTGTGAAGGATATAGAAGAGTCCATGCATAAATCATTATGTACCTCTGACTCGTACAGTGAGGACGGGAGAGCTGTGGGCTCCAATTCGATTCCTGGCCTCACAGTAGTACTGACCGCTCTCTCCAGGGCCGACCTCTGAGAAGGTGAAGACAGGACCAGACTTTGTGCCCCATGCTGTGCAGAAAGGGAGAAGATCCACTTACTGTTTCAGAAAAACCGACAGAGGCACACAGAGCCTGAGACACCTTACTGACTACGGCCATTTACCACAGGTTATAGAGTAAGGTATTTATGATTTTGTAATGTTAACCTTGAGGGGAACCACATTTTTACGATGCTAACATTGTACAGAGCCCCCGTCCAGAGATAAGCGGTGCCATGTGAAGTTGTCCACTGCTGGGTTGGCCTGACTGCTGCAGGTCAAGGTCAAAGGCCGGCCAGCGTCCACCACACTGGAGGGACGAGCCAGAACTGAGGTGTTCTTAGGTGGGTCTGAAGAGAGAGGAAGAGGAAGCAAAGTTTTGTCATGTAAATTTAACATGACAATGATATGAATTCAGTAAAATTATGAAGGAAGTTAGGGTTTGTAGATGGACCACCTGTTGTTCTGGTGAGTTTGGGAACCCCGTGATCAAATGATATATTGTTTACAATATACAGTACATTTAGGTTTAACAAAGAGTACAGTTACAATGCCTGAAGACATATGGAAAGTCTTTCTTTCTCAAAAATCTCAAAGACAAATAGAAGACTAAACATAGACACTTTAGAGGTATTTATGTGTAGATATCAGCGAAGCATGTCCCTCAGATAAATATTAGTATTTATTACAAACAGACAAACCTAGCCCAGAGAAAAAATCCTCTCAATCCCAAACATGTCATGCACGAGCAAACAACACACCCACTACTTACAAAGTATAGTGAGTGTAGCAACAGGAGAGGTTTGGTATCCTAACCGGTTCCACGCTTTACAGTAGTACTGACCAGCATGGTGAGCACGCACTAACGGGAATGCCAGGTTCTGGACGGTTCCTTTAGCCAACACCTGGTCACCTAGGATACGATACCAAGCATACCTGCAGGAGCGAGGATGGTGAAGATGCTGATGATAAAAATTATTGTAAGACTGCATAGTTTGCAATAATATAATCCTTGGTCCTTAATAATCAGATTATTTAACACTTGGTGTAATAAAGTTGAATATTTATCATTATTTAAATCTTTGTTCCATATTGCCCAGTCCTTATTAATGACTCCTTAAAGGAAAGTAAGTCTAAATAAAAAAAGTTAAGAAATTAGATAGAAAAAGAGATGACATGACAAATACAAGAATGATGATAATGATGACAAAATCCACAAAAACACCTGTAAGAACTATGATAAGGAAAACAATATGAACAATAAAAATATACAAATGTATTGCTCCTACCTGCTGGCTGGGGGGTGGGCGTGGCTGACACAGCTCAGGTTTACATATGAGCCTTCTCTGATGTCACCTAGAGGACTCACGAGCACACGCGTGTTCTTTGGAGAGTCTGAACAGGCAAACAGATGGAGAGAAAAACAGAAGCATCATTAATATTATGTTTATTTGAGGTTCAGTAAATGCAATTATTGATTCCTTTTCACAGCTTCTCATAAAAGAATGTAGAGTTTAATGAGTGGCTAATAATGTAAACAATCTGCAGACCTTTCAGTTTTAAGTAGGAGACAGTCAGACATACAAATATTCAGTCAATTATAAACAGCAGTAAATGCTTATGACTGAGTAGGTGGGACCAGGAAAAGCTTCTTATTTTTGCTTGGAAAATTGAAAATCAAGATAGTTGCAGGTTCATTTTCAGTCGACAGACTAATCTAGACTAGAGACTAATAATTTCCATTTGATGCATGTTCTTAGAAACAAAAGTAAAGTATGATAAATCAGCAGTTTGTATCACTTCCTACTGAATCCACATGAGTCCTCTCATTATGACTACAGTTTCTAACAGTTTCCTAATCAGTTTAACCCAGACTAACCTTTTACAAATTTACACAACAGGACGTAAGATATAAATATACATCCAGACCTAATATAGGTTTTACAAAGGTCTTTTACTCTCAAAATTTAATTCTGATCAAAGTGCAAGTGCTTGAAGTCGACCCAAGACACACTGCCTGTGAAAACATCCAACAAACTTACAAGTGACATTGAGTAGAAGTGGTTTGGAGCGGTCTGTTCCCAGTGAGTTACGTGCTACACAGAAGTACTCTCCTCTGTCTGTGTATCTGAGGTGGGACAGGTGGAGCTGAGGCCTAAAGCTGTCTGGGATGCTGCCACTGTCCATGTCTGGAGAGAAGACAGAGACACATGTGCAGATTAGTGTGCACATTAATTCACATTATGAGCATGAAAAAACATTTACATGCTGCACTTGAAAAATAAGTCCTGCAATCCTAGAAGAAAACTTGATCCTCTGCTTCAACAAATCATTAAAGGAGCTACACTTGTCCAACTGCAGGAGGAAATTCACATTACAGTGTATGTCACCACCATCACTCAGCTCATTTCTACAACACGCTGTCAATGCTGTCCTGTACCTTTGAACCATGCAAAGCTCTCCACAGGTGGAGCTGCGTCGCTACGGCAGGTCAGAGTGACCGCCCCCCCCTCTGACACGTCCGCTACTGGGGAGACTGCTATGGAGGTGGAATTAGGAGCGTCTGGAAGGGGAAGAGAGGGAGAACAGGAGGGAGTGAAAAAAAGGATATATTAAATAATGCAGTTTAAATACAGTTTACACTTTATTAAATCTAAGAATATTCTTCTATATGAAAATCTCCCTCTGAAAACATGTTTGTGTGTTTTGTTTTGGTTGGTTTGATTGGTTTTAATGTACTCACGTCCCAGAGCCAGGGAGAGGGATGGTGACTGGACATTCTGTGGTGGGATTGGTCGACAGGTGTATGCTCCGGCATGCTGCTGGTCAAAGCGGTTGATAATCATCCACTTGTCATAGGAACCGAGGTTTAGTCCGTTCCTGTGTGCAGAGCAGCGTGTCATATCTAAAGTGTAGCACAGTGGTTTCCAGCCCATTTCATTAAGGGACCCCATTTCCAATCATTGAGTAAACCGACAACCCCCGACTGACATATTTTATAGATATTGTATTCATAGCATAACAATAACAGCTGATAAACTGTCCCAAACAGTGAACGCAATAACTGCAGGAAGTTTGTTTAAAACAAGAGATTTGGATGCATTTTGAGCAGATTATTATATTATTATATATACTGTGAATATCAGAGTAGAGATCTTTTAGTACCTTTTAATACAATTCTGTCTGTATTATGCTTTTTTTTCATTTTTAACAATCATACATACTTAAGAGGCAAATTCAGTGTTTTATTCTCCCTAATGATTGGCCATTGTTCTATTAGATCTTTTGGTTGTTTCTCTGTACTGCCTAATGCAGGATGAGGCTGTTTATCATAGAGTGAAGGCTCTGTGAATATAACTTTAGATTCAGGTCTTCACAGTGCCCTTATGCTGGGAGATCTTTTCCAAGGTTATATTTCTAAATAATAATAGGTTGGGAATCAGAAGTGTAGCAGACAGTGTACTGTTAAATATTAACTACAATAAGCTCTCAACCGCTGAAAGCAATAATACATCCACATGTACATTAAACACACCTGTACAGTGCAAGACTCCTTCCAGGAGATGCACATCCTCTGGCCTGGCAGCCAACAAACACAGTCTCTCCGAAGCCAAACATGTTGCTGGGCCTTGCTGGATGCACCTGAACCTGAAGGTCTGAAATACACACACACATTCATACCTTCACAAAAACACTGGCTGCATGAATCCAGCACAGGAATCAATACCTCTTTGTTATAGCAGAGACGTTACAGCAGTTTTAGTTTGAACAGTCATACCTGTGACATCGAGAGTGATTGTGTTAGGGGAGGTCCATCTCCCCAGTGGTTGGTCTGTCTCAAACCGGAAGTGGTACTCGCCTGCATCACTCAGCTTCACAACCCGAATCTGGACTGAACAGCTGGAATAGCTGCCCCCGATGTAGCTGGAACCAGTGATTCATTTGTCATACATTTATGCATTATTTCATTATTTTACATTAGAGTATGCCAGCTGTGTGTTTCTCATACCGTGTACGTCCACGGTATGACAGGCTAATCTGGTTTGGGTCGGTGTGGTGAGCGAACTCCCTACGACCTTCTGAAGACACACGGAACCACATGACCCGCTTCATGGTGTGACCTGTAAAGAGAAAGCCACAGCATAACTCCAAACTCAGAAGAAAAATGATGGAGGATGAAAAAAGCAGCAAAATATTATAAAGCTTTAGATTATTTAACTAATTTTAAGTGTTTGATCTTGCACACATGTAGAATCCAGAGCATTTTATTGCTTTATTAATCAGTATAGAAAGTAAAAACTAGATTTTCAAAATACCAAAACGAAATGACTAAAAATATAATAGAGAGGATTTATGTATTGATTTCATACCTGATGGGTAGTCATAACGACAGGGCAAAGTCACAGTTGTTCCTGCCCACACACAGATCTCCCTCCTGGAAAATGACACACTCCACCTGCTCTCGATACCTGAAGGATGATTGAAGGGCACAAATATGCAAAATCATAAACAGCAAAAAATCACAAATGCAGCAAGTTCATTCACACATGCATGGCTTATAAAAAATAAAACCCACACGCACACAAACACAAACACCAAACATTTCTTATGTATAACCTAAAAATGTATACAAAGCAAGCTGATAGATAAAAGTCTCTACGCTCTGTCTTTCCACACCATTTGTTCTCATACTTTGATGAAGAACCAGTTCAGTGATCAGCATCCATAACTACTGACTGTCACATCCACAGATTGCCTGCCATAGAAAATAAGCTACCAAAAGTTTAGGGAATACACACTTAAAGACTAAAAGAAGTGTAAGTTTAAACTGCCAACAAGTTAAAGTTTTCCTCCAATGTGGCTCCTCAGAGAAAAACTTGTCAAACCACAGCTCTGATCAGCCCAGAGAATGACACATAAAACTGAAGCAGTGAGAATGAGCCCTGGTGTGCAGCCGTGGTGTCGTCCTGTGCTGCTAACTGCCTGCCTGGCTGACTACCTTGCACAAAAGGCAATCAATACTTATAAATAACTTGAGCGTAAAGGCAAGGGCACCTGGCTGCAGGACCTTATGTGCATAATGGATCCCATAAGTCATTTTAACTGTTGTTTTACAGTATGTGTGGCACATCTATGATATATCTGTACATACAGTACAAATATTTGACAATTAAGGAGCCTGTCAGTTCTCATCCCCTTAACTAATAAGAATATACTTATTAAGTTTAGTAAGTTTTACACCTCTTGATGAATTTCTTTAGAAGTTCTGATGTATTTTTGTGTTTCTCTCTTACCTGGTAAAGCTGTAAGGATGGTGCCCAGGACTAACGCACCTGCCAACATCTCCGCTGACGCGAGCTCTGTAATGTCACCGGAGGAGGAGAAAAGCACAGAGAGACAGAGAGGTGAACAAAAAATATATCAGAATAAACAGCATCCAGCTGAATACATTTAAAGCACTCACCCCTTAAAATATCTTCATTCAGTCAAGTCAGTCAGACAGAACAGGGTTTGAGGGATGCGTGCGACCTGAACAGTGATGGAGTGATTTTTTTTGAGCGATGAGAGTTGGGTGGTAGGAAATGGGAGGAGGAGTGGAAGGGGCAGAAGGAGGAGGATGAGGAAGAGGAAGTATGTGTGTGCTTTCAAAGAAACTTCAGCTACGTTCCTGTATACTGTCTTTTAAACTTTTCTATTTTCACTTTTTCCCACTTCTCCCTCTGAAACAGTTTCTAAGGTCAATGATGTCATGAGTCTGGTTTCCCTTTGTGTTATTGTGAAAATGTGACATCCTTGTGATCATGTCAATTGAACAATTGTCTCTTCTAACTGAATGTCATTAACCTGCCGTCAGTGAAATATGTTATCAAGCAATCTCAAGTTACAGCTAAAGATTAAGTGCTGCTTTGTCTCAAAGTGTCCCAAAGAGGCATTTATTAGGAACGTCATCAGGCGGCAACCATAACCATAATCTCTTTACTGTCTGCTATGTAACAAAGCATAAAATGACATAAAACTAATAATACATGTTAACTAATCAGTTATTGGCTCTTGATTGTTTATCAGAGCAACAGCACTATTAAAGGAGATTGTCATTCTTGTTGGGGGGAGTTATGTCACTAGCTAGTTGCTAATTTTGTATGTTTTCTGTTTAGCCCTGGGCAGGTAGTATACAGCTTTATCAGAGGATTAACTATAAATCCAAAATAATGAGCTGAAAGATGCTAAAATGCTTCATAAAGCTGAGGGGAACTGCAGAGACAGTTGATAATTCTCTGTGGGTTCATCTCTATAAGTGACAATCTTCACATTAATCACAGTTATTTGACCCATTGTTCATATAAAAATATTGATGAGTGCAGCTTTAAGGGTGAAGTTGCAGATTGCAACTAATTGAACACCGCTGATGACCTGGGAATGAGAATAGTATATAGTTATCTATCTGTAGATAAAAACGTTTCATTCTAAGGTAACAAAAATTTAACGATTCCTATATTCAGGTGATTATACGCTAATGAAAACACACTTATGAATATTATATTCCACTTCTGCCAACAGATCCTCCTCAATGTTACACACTGGACCTTTAACTACATATTCATTCTGATCAATAAACATATACACTGTTCTGTGATAAAAAAAAAACGGTAAAAGCGAGTGAGTCTTTACTCTCCTCGACATTGTCACAATATTGTTGCATACTCTGACCATCATGATTGACTGATTGTTAAAAAGACAGACATCTATGGGTCATTTGTAATATGAATTCAGGCTTGTTGGCGTACATTAACATACATAAGTCAAGCAGACATGGACTCGGCAGCCCAGATGTCCTCTCATCCACTGCTCTAATTGAGAATTGTTGGCACATAAAATTACCCGCAACCAGACGTGGGGAGGTTCGAGACCTCTCAGTCAACTGTGTCCACTTAGCCTGATGAGTCTAAATGACTTTAACATCCTACCCTGCCACAACTTGGCCAATAGATGTCAGTTTAGCATCACGACTCGGCCAATTGGCTACTTACCCCAGCTTTGACCCAAGAGTAATGATGATGTACAGTTTAACATTTCAGTCAATCTCTATTCAAAGGCATCCAAGTCAGGGAATGAAGAGAGGGTTAACTTCAAGGTTTCAGAGATGATATCTTGATCTACATGTGGAAATAAATGCTGTCGTTTTACTTATTAGCCGTAAAATATGATGGTTGGGGTTTATTATTTTGACAGTAGAGGTAAGTAGGCAGAAAAAGATGGAAGAAACAAGGGTATAACGTACAACACAGATCCTTTTCTGAAGTGGTACTGTGGTACCATTAACCATTAGGCTTAGGACGCCCTCTAAAACAACATAATTTTGTTCAAGAGGTCTGCATTATGTTTAGTGGGGAATCGGAACTCAACTTTAAATGGCGACACTAATAAGGAACAGAAATTCTCTGGTTGGGAAAGTTACCTTCAAAATATAATCAAAATCCTCAGGATATGAGGTTAAATGAACAATATATTCCAGTTCACAGATTGCTAGGTTGGATTATGGGTTGGGACCCAAAATGGGTCGCAGGCCCTCCTCTAGTGGGTCTCCACATGACAAGAACGCTCGTATGATTTAATGATCCTGGATCCCAGTAAAAAAAAAAGTAATTTTGGTTCCTGGCTGAAAAGTTTTAAGAACCTTCCCCCTCCAAATACTGTCTGTATTATGTTGAGTAAGAAGAGTGGTGGGCTTTGAGCTTAACCTGTAACCACAGAATGACTTCAAAAGGATCACGGCACACTAATAGGTCAAAGCCTGATGTAATCTTAATCGAAAGCAGACCGGACTAAACGAATGAAGAGAAACAGATGGATGGAGCTAGATTAAGTGTGACTGACCACAAACAGAGAGAGAAAGAGGGTGAGAGAGGGAGGAATGAGAAAGTTTGAAGGGGAAGGGATTATAGGGGGGAGAGACAAAACACGATGAGGTAAGGTTGCTAAGCAGGAAATAAAGAAAAGACAGACAAGAGACGAAGGAGAGGAAGTTGGGAGGAAAAGGAGGAAGAACGAAAGGTTTAAAAGAAAAGTGTTAGGTTTGTCAGAGGAGGGGGAAAGAGGAAGACAAATGGAAAAAATTGTGAGAGGGAGCAATAGACAAACGTATGACAGCGTATCCAACCCTTACGGTGGGGAAGGTATCCATGCACTGACCGCAGCCTCTAGGCCAGATGAAGTGTGACCGTCTGGTGGTCAGACTGGACCTGAAGATTTTCCGCTGTTGCAAAACACTTCCTGCCTGCTGTTTTCATGTAATGTGACCGCTCACAGTTTGCTCCCCTGCCATACTTTAAGTTGTACAATATGTTATTTCTATGTTACTTCTTATGCCCACAGATTAGACTCTTGGCTCTTCAGGCCCTCCAGCCTTGGACGGACTCCACATAAGCAAATAATGATTCGACTGTCCAACATGTGTTAGTCTTCAGTTTGAGTGGTGCTCTCCACGGGGGAAGTCTGGGCAAGAATGACGATGATCAGAGCTACAATCATATCTGACAAGGTGATGTGTTGTTCCTGTGCTGTCTTTTAGGAGCTCTACTTGATGACTTGATGAGCCGGATTTTTGCCAAGAGAATCACTGAATCAACGGGGAATTAAATGAGAGAAATAAAAAGAAACTACGAGAGAGAAATAAGGAGTTATTTTTTTGTTAAAGTGATACATCTTATCAATAAAACACACAGTATTTAGCCTCTTAGACACTTGACTTTCATATTCAAGCCAAACCAAACACTTGATGAATTTTTAAAACTCTTAAATCTTTGAAGCCTATTGGAGCTCCATTAAATTTACCCTGGTTTTGCTCATTCCTGTCCCATTCACAAACTCTGCTGCAGGGTCGGATTTCTGCTCCTTGTCTGCCAGAGACCTGTCTGTGGCTGCTGTGGTATTCCACGCTGAATGAGTCATGTCTGGTGGTTATTATGGGCAGGCGTTTGGCTCCCCCCCGTCTCTCACCCCGTCTAGTGGCAGCAGACAAAATTACATCTTTTTTTGAGCCTCGTCCAACCGAGCTGACTAAGATGAGGTTCTCAGTTAACCAGGCTAGATGAGTTAAGGACACATTTTTGGTTAGTGGTGTAAGAATTGCTTATGCTTATGGTTATATTGTGCTTTATTGAGGCCAAAATAAAAAATAGTAGTGTCCCTTTAAATCTGAAAATCAAGAGAACTCAGGCGTACGTCTACACTCTATGTCAGAGCCTCAGAAACTGTCTTATCAATCAATCATCTAGCTACCTTGAGCGTGGGGCTAAGAGGTGTAGGAGGTGTTATTTATATGCATAAGCTCAGTCTCTCTTTCACCAAACGTACCACACAGCAGTTTTACCTGCAGACTGGATAGAAAGACAAAGCATTTATTCTTATTTGGCCAGGCTACAGGGTGAGATCTTTGACACTGAATATTTTGGGAAATATGTATATTCACTTTCCTGAGATACATAAGAAGATCGATCTAATGTCTGTATGGTGAATATGTGTTAGCAGCTGGTTAGTTTACCTTAGCATAAAGACTGAAATCATATCTCTTATATAGAGTCTTGACTTGACCAGTGCCAGGAAAAGAAATAGTCATATTTCTTTGGTGGCACATAACCCCCCGTAAAACCACAATGTATCATTTTTACACTTAGTTTAAACAAATGAGACATAATATAAGGTAATAAGTGAGCGTTAGAGGTGATGATAGTTGATTTTATTACTTTTGGACAAAAACAGTCTCACTATTTTCAGTCATTACGCTATGCTAAGCTAACCAGCTACTGGTGGTAGCTTGATATTTATCACAGGAGGGAAATTAACTCTCAGCAAGAAAGTAAATCAGCAAACAATTCTGTTAATATTTTGTGATGATGACACTGACATGTGTCATCAAATATCAACATGTTTGCTGAGTATGTTGAACCGTTTTAGGCGACTATAAGAAACAAACAGTTTGTCAGTGCGCAGCTCCTGTGGAGCTGTTCAGAGTCATAGCTTAAAGATTCACAGTCTGTAGATGTGAGGAAACGAAGAGCACACCTTGTTCACTTCTACTGTCCAGATTTTCCCTGCTGGGAGTCTTTATCTCAGCCGTCAGTCGCACAAACGTTCTACTGAGAGCCAAATGACTCTCTGTCTCTGTAGATCTTGTGTTTTCAAATATGAGTAAAAGCCGTTTCCTGGTTAAAGACTGAGAGAGAACATGTGTGTCTTCTGCATGTATGAGAAAGAGAGGCAGTGTGTGGGAGTCTGTGTGTGTGTGTGTGTGTGTGCCTGTGATGGTTTTACCATGTGCAGAGTCCCTGTATGGGACTGAATGAAGTCGGATATGAAGGAACCTGTCAGGTCTGGGCTACTGTCGGAAACCCTCCTTCTATTACCTCCTCCTTCTCTTCCGCTTCATCCTGCTTTTTACGTCTGAAGATTGTACAAGACATCCAGGCTATATATATTGTTGTTAAGTTAGTATGTTAGCCTATATAATTTTAAAGTTACAATGTATCATTTGGCAAATGTTAAAAACAAATGTTAACATTTTTATCCTACCGCTACTTCAAAATGTTTCATATTGCTGTTAAAAAAATCTCTGCAAGAACTGGTTAAAGGTCCAGTGTGTAACAATAAGGAGAATATATTGTCATAAATAAGATATAATATTCACAGGTATGTTTTCATTAGTGTACAAT